AGAAAGACTTTTGCAATGTGGTATTGCTAAAGAACAGCTTATTGTTAGAACATTTATAGAAAATAGGGATAGTCTAAAGGATTTACTGTGCGAAGTTGATCTTGCCATCATGCCATCAAAATCAGAGGGATTTGGTCTTGTCGCACTTGAAGCCTTGTCTGCAGGCCTCCCCATTCTTGTGGGCAGTAGGTCAGGATTTGCCAAAGCATTAGAGAACATTCTTCATGGCCATTCATGCATCGTATATTCAGATGATCCTGCAGAGTGGGCAAAAGCAATTGAAGCCGTTCGTGTCAGACATGGAATGCGGCTTAGAGAGATCAAAACTCTGAAAGAATCCTATGGAGAGATGTACAGTTGGAGAAAGCAATGTGACGCCCTTGCCGAGAGGATGTGGAAAATGATCCATGGTATGATTGAACTATATACTGGCTTATGTTTAGACATTTTTAGTACATGTAATAATGGTAAGATAATTTAGTTCGTTGTACCTTATCCTGGTACAGGATGGTCTGTACTTGTCTTAAAAGACTCCCAGGTCTTGGACGCAGGTCGCCGAATAGTACTTTGGGTAATTGAGGTACATGTACTACCCTTTGTTGAGCTCAATAGTTATCGCTAAATGTTTCAAATGAGAAGTAGAGCACGTTGGAATAAGCTGTTCAGAACACTATGTGCATTCAACATTAGCGACAACATTATAGACCAAATACTTAGCTATAAAATTTCTCAAGAATTTCCTACAAAAAGTTATTCTTGTTTTGATGTGTATCTTAAAAGCCCTATTTTTTTTCATTAAACATCAACCTGATGTAATAAGTTTAATAAAATTGCCGTCATAACGAAAGTTTGTTTTCACAGGATCCTCTGCGAAAGAAAACAAAAACCGAAGAACATACGCCCCTACTGATAACGATCGGCTTGTTTCCGAAACATCCCCTGGTAGTAACTCTGAAAAGAAAGTTGATGCTGCATCAGGAAATCAAACCAAAATGTCCACAAATACAGACTCTCAGTCTCAAAATACCCGTAAGCGTAAACTTTCAGGATCTTCCCGTGACCCAGGTATGAAATTTTTTTTCTCTCTACTGCTCACTCACATGACTCTGAAGGGTGGGGTGATTTGTTAGATTTCACAGAGGTGCTTTTTTGATAGAGATGTTTCAGTACTGTTTGATCTTTTTCCTCCGAATTTTAGCGTTTTATTAGACCCGAACGGGATTCTGCCGGAATTTCGATAATAGTCGTTCCTCAGTGGTGTCGTTTTTTACTTCCAGACATCGTTATCAAGCACAGTTACCAGGACTTGAGTGATGAACAGGAAGAAATAGTCCATGACTTTCTATCACGTCACATACAAGTGTACATCAAGCATCGCAAGGTTGCAACAGCTGATGAAGTGTCTGCTCTGATCAAACATATAGAAAAGACGTACAACTTGGCCTTGGAATCTGTTGGTGTGGGCTCTCTGGAAATGAAGTTTCGATGCCCCACCCTGGAGGGTCTTGAGCATTTGTGGAGTGACTATCAGTCAGGTTACCTTAATGAGATTGCTGAGAAATACCTTGTGACAAATGACATAAAGGAGAAGCTGAACTTGGAGACTGTCAGGTTAAAGACAACAATTGAACATGAAAACTACCGGAATTGCAGGAAGATCCTAATGGAAAAGTCATGTAAGTTTGAGAGTTCTCTTACGGTTTAAGTTACAGCTTACCTACAACAAATTGATTAGTACCATTTACTTACTGTGGGTCAAAATTGACGGGGGCACAGTCTTCACCGAACTTCCTGTTTAAGATCCATACAGGGCAGGGTTGTTCAAAGCTGGGTTAGGATAACCCAGGCTTAGTGCGAAATTTGAACTCGGATGTAAAAGCTTAAAAAAACAACTTCATTCTTATTCTCTAGGTCCACAATTTAATGATTGCGTGGATACGCTAAAATGAAAAGCAAAAATTATGCGACGAAATGTTTTTGAACGAAAGAAAAAGAAACTCGGATAAAAATTTAACCCCGGGTTAGCCGGCGCTAATCAGCCTTCGAACAATTTGGCCAGGGTGAAAAGAGACAGGGTTTGGTTGCCGTTGTGGAGTGTTTTATAATTGAGGGTCTAGCATTTGAGTGAGAATGAGGCTGATGCTTCTGAGATTACATGTGATTACAATTCTGAAACAGCTTGTACTTATTACCTGAAAGATTGAAAATACGTAACGAAAGTATGGTATACTAGAGGTAATCATTGATTACGGATCCGTGTTCGTCACTCACGGAAACGAAATTCAGTCGAAGAGTCCAGTTTCCCGGTCAAGATGCCGCTGATAAAAACGGTAGGGGCGGCTAATCGGCAGTCGCCCGCGATACCTCGAAAATGTGTGGCTTTGTACCACATGAACACCAAGATTAGGATGCGTTTTGACGAACGGGATAACTAGCTTTATCTCATTGTGTGTTAGCAGTGTTAACAAGCAGCAGTGGCTTTTCACCGTCAACTGAATCAGATCAAGTAAGAGTGGATTCTTTACGGATCGACACAAGCTCAGATGTTCTTAAGGTGGGATAGTTTTTATTGTTAATTAATAACGCATTAATGAATAGTAACTGAGGTCAACTAAATCGGAAAACCCTTGTTTTAAATACTCTGAAGTCTCTTCTTACTTTTCGAGGATTGTCGAATTTTAAACGGTACTGACTTTAAATCTTATTCCATGTTTTAGTGCTGCCCGTGATTGTACATTCGGAGGTATTCGACCGTATATTGCTTGCATCTTCTAAATTTGGTCAGCGACAGCTGGTTTTGAAGAATTAGTCAGGAGATTAAAGCCACTCAAAAACGGCGAAATGTTTTGAAAGAATAACAAATTTTTTTAATCATCCTAGGATAAGAAGCAGGTTCTGACCCATATGGAGAGAGCTGAGAGAGCAAAAGTAAGTTGAATGGCATTTGTATTGTAGTGTGCGCACGTTGTCCATTTAAGCTAGGGAAAACAAATATGAAAACTTTAATCAAAGAAAGATTTAGAAATTCCATATTGTTAACGTCTTTCTCATAAATCAGAGCACAGGCTTAATTATGAGTGGCAACATAGGTTGTAGGTTGCGCGCGCAATGCATGATTTCCAAGAGCAATGTCAAGTGCACGGACAGCAATGTCAAGTTCGCGGACAGCGAAGTAAGAATGGCTTCTCGATTACTCCAGGACTTTTTGAAAGGGAATTTGGGGATCTGGAACAAGATGCCAATAACAATGCAGATTTTAAAGTGTTAATTTTTGGTCGTGGCGATAAGGAAGATTTTGAGCTTAAAGGGTACAGCATTGCTGCCAAAGCATTTACTGACCCACGGTTGGAAAAGAAACCTTATCAACTGATCTTTGTTGGTGCCCCTAAAGAAAAGGAAAAGCAAGAAGAGTTTAAAGAAAGACTTTTGCAATGTGGTATTGCTAAAGAACAGCTTATTGTTAGAACATTTATAGAAAATAGGGATAGTCTAAAGGATTTACTGTGCGAAGTTGATCTTGCCATCATGCCATCAAAATCAGAGGGATTTGGTCTTGTCGCACTTGAAGCCTTGTCTGCAGGCCTCCCCATTCTTGTGGGCAGTAGGTCAGGATTTGCCAAAGCATTAGAGAACATTCTTCATGGCCATTCATGCATCGTATATTCAGATGATCCTGCAGAGTGGGCAAAAGCAATTGAAGCCGTTCGTGTCAGACATGGAATGCGGCTTAGAGAGATCAAAACTCTGAAAGAATCCTATGGAGAGATGTACAGTTGGAGAAAGCAATGTGACGCCCTTGCCGAGAGGATGTGGAAAATGATCCATGGTATGATTGAACTATATACTGGCTTATGTTTAGACATTTTTAGTACATGTAATAATGGTAAGATAATTTAGTTCGTTGTACCTTATCCTGGTACAGGATGGTCTGTACTTGTCTTAAAAGACTCCCAGGTCTTGGACGCAGGTCGCCGAATAGTACTTTGGGTAATTGAGGTACATGTACTACCCTTTGTTGAGCTCAATAGTTATCGCTAAATGTTTCAAATGAGAAGTAGAGCACGTTGGAATAAGCTGTTCAGAACACTATGTGCATTCAACATTAGCGACAACATTATAGACCAAATACTTAGCTATAAAATTTCTCAAGAATTTCCTACAAAAAGTTATTCTTGTTTTGATGTGTATCTTAAAAGCCCTATTTTTTTTCATTAAACATCAACCTGATGTAATAAGTTTAATAAAATTGCCGTCATAACGAAAGTTTGTTTTCACAGGATCCTCTGCGAAAGAAAACAAAAACCGAAGAACATACGCCCCTACTGATAACGATCGGCTTGTTTCCGAAACATCCCCTGGTAGTAACTCTGAAAAGAAAGTTGATGCTGCATCAGGAAATCAAACCAAAATGTCCACAAATACAGACTCTCAGTCTCAAAATACCCGTAAGCGTAAACTTTCAGGATCTTCCCGTGACCCAGGTATGAAATTTTTTTTCTCTCTACTGCTCACTCACATGACTCTGAAGGGTGGGGTGATTTGTTAGATTTCACAGAGGTGCTTTTTTGATAGAGATGTTTCAGTACTGTTTGATCTTTTTCCTCCGAATTTTAGCGTTTTATTAGACCCGAACGGGATTCTGCCGGAATTTCGATAATAGTCGTTCCTCAGTGGTGTCGTTTTTTACTTCCAGACATCGTTA